CGGCGCTGCGGGACCAACCCAGCAGCACCCCAGCTGCTCTGCCCCAGGCGTGTCAGCCACTGTTGAAACTGATCAGTTTCAGCAGCGGCTGAATCTGGACGCCAGTTCCGACTTACATACAGATTCAACTTAAGAACAAACCTACAGTCCCTATCTTGTACGTAACCCGGGGACTGCCTGTACTAGTTTTTAAATAATTATTAGTGCCCTACAAAGGATGTTAAAATGAGTTTATCTTACTAATTGAATAGTTGATAGAATTTTTATCGACTACTCAATTTGTCAGTGGCAGCCATGCTTAATTCCTAATGGCTGGAAGGTAGCCGCAGTGGGGTTTGGTCCCGGACTTGGTGCAAGCAGGGACTGACTTGGGCTGCTTGCCCTGCCAACCCAGCTCCTAAATACAGCAGCCCCTTTCCGTGGAAGCTGACTGCGGACAGGGCTTGCTTCGCAGCAGCAGCTCCTGTTTGTGAAAGGTCCCAACTCCCCACTGGGATCCCCCATGGGCAGGTGCTGCTGCCGGAACAGCCTTCCCTGGCCCACCCTTGCTGCTGCCTGTAAGAGAGGGACCAGCACAAGGGCAGGGGAGGCAAGCTGCACTGCAGAGATGGTGCTGGGGGTTAACCAGCTTTTAAGCTGGCTCTCCCAGCACCAGCTCCTGCTTCCTGCCCCTTTGCTGCCTCTGATATAGAGGCAGCAAGGGTGGGGAGAAATGTGAGTAGTCGACTTGATTATCTGATAAGCCTAGGCTTATCAAGTAGTCAACTAATCAACTACTCTTTTACATCCCTATGCCCTACTGAGCTAAAAATGCTCAGATTTATTCTGCCTCCAGATAACATCAAGTAGGTTTAAGATTGCATGTTTAGTCTGTAACACAATTTCATTATATTATACATGGGTATAGGAGGATTCTAGGAACATACAGGTTAAGTTAGTGCCTACTGAATCACAGCACCACTATTTGTCTCACTTATTTGAACAGTGCATCCTTCAGATGAGTTTTTTTGAAACAACGATCCAAGTAACAGTGTGGAGCACTGGCTAAAATGTGTTTCCATTGGTTAGCAGAGAGAAATTGACCTAGTACCTCCTCCAATTTATTTGTTAGAGAATCCATGTTTAGTTCAAATTTGCTAGCCAAGAGTGCAGATAGTGTTGCTGTAGGTCTTGGCAATCTGGGTAACATTTGAGAAATGAATGTAGTTCAGTTAGGTCGGAGCAGTACAGGCATCGGGAACAACAGGTAGGAGATGACCCATTTAAGTTGGACATATTACAGCTCCTTAGTCTATAGATTAAACCTTTCTTTGAATATTGTAAAAAGTTGGATGGTATAATTTTCAATAAATTGAGTAATAGTCAAAGGTGGAAGGAAGTAAGGGTATGTCTACACTACCAC